AATAATAGACAATTATGTAGGAACTAGCAAACCAGTGAATCAAATGTTCACCAAAACCTGATTTAAAAAAAAAAAATAACCTTTAAATAGTTAATTAAAATTGTGATAATTACAAAATAGAAATCACGTGATTTCTCGAAAACCGGAAGTGCTACGTTACTCAAATCCGGTTTGTAGTCTTATTAGACTATTCTTAACTTATAACTTAAACATTCTCTTTATCTATCTCTTACGGTTTGGCCGCTGAAACAGCACCACAGACAGACGGACGGACGGACGGACGGACGGACGGACGGACTTGTCTAATAGATAAGAGATGCTGTTAAGTTCTATGTTGTATACCTTCTTAAGACGACTTCTTTGGCCGAGTAGTTTGTACGCCGGGTTTCTTGGTGTCGCCGACTCGAGAGGTCCCGGGTTCGAATCCCGGTGGGGGCAGATGTTTATGTGATGAATACGAGCATTTGTAATCCAGTCATGGATGTTTAATATGTATTTCTATATAAATATACTTATATTTGTACAGTATATGTATTCTATCCGTTACCCTAGTATCCCATAACGCAAGCCTTATAGTGCTTAGCTTGGGGCTAGGCTAATTGGTGTGAGTGTTGGAAATATATATTTTATTATTTATTTATTATTCGCGTAATAAAATTGGTAGACTTAATTTCAATTGGAGTTCATGCGAGGGTAATACACGATGGCTCAAGAAAATTCAGAATCTCAGCGGCATAATGATATTCTTCATTTTGTGTCCATATGAATATTGTCAGATAAAAACATCATATTTGTTTCTTAGGTTTTCACGCACATCACTCATTAAATAAAACTAGTTTTTCACGGGTTAATGCACGAAACTTTATTTATTTATTGACGATACGCAACTTTCACAGGGGCCGCTTCGTCGGAATCAATTTTTTATTTAATTTTGTCGAGCTACCTTCGAAAGACTTCGAAAGACTAAAGCGAAACGTCAATAAATAAATAAAGTTTCGTGCAGTAACCCGTGAAAAACTAGTTTTATAAATACATCATATTTAGGGTGTGTTTCCACAAAAGCGGAGTTGTGCAAACTTTATCAGAGTGGAGCTGTGTAAATAGGCAAGCGTTTCCATTGCAGCTGTGCGAATATGAGTTGTGCAGGAGCAGAGTTGTGTGAAATGGATCAGATTGAAGATGAGCTGAGCGGAGCTGTGAATGCGTTTTATTGGCTATCAGTCAAACAATGAGGGCTATCGCGTATAAATCCGCCGCTATAGGCGCTAGTGTAGCGTGAGGTCTACGAAATGTCAAATGTTATTGCTTGTTGGTTGACTACGCGGGTTTATTTCTAATTAAAATAATGTTGTGAATAATTGGTAACAATTCGGCTTAATTATGGCAAATATGTGTTATGTGGCAATGAATGTCAGTTATTAAAAATTTGAGCTTAGAAAAATGATTATGTTCCCATTTTTTCCGAATAAAACGGAACTGCGCGTCACTGTGGCATGGCCTATTATGTTTAGTATATGGTTCTTTTGTGTTAAAATACGATCTAAATGTAACCTTTGATTTCATGTGCGTATGAATAAACTTTAAAAGTTACAATTTAGGACCTCACTCAACATTGGCGCCATCTGGTGAGGCAGAAAACGGTAGCCCTCATTGAATAAAGCAATAAAGCTTTGCTCAACTTAACTCCGCCCAGCGCGGCATCGCTCTGCCTCGCTCAGTATGACAACGCTCAGCTCTGCCTAGCTTAACTTCGAGTGCTATACATTTTAATGTTATTCTTCTCAACTCCACCCATACTGTTTCCATTGAAGTGGAGAGGAGAAGAGATGTGTATTTTGAGCAATGCGATTGTTTTTTTTTTTTGTGAGACACTGTTTCGCTCCGCGCAGCTTCGCTTATGTGGGAACGCAGGCTTATTTGCGCACGCACCTCCTTCAAAGTATCAGTGTTGATTTTGCTAATGTTTTTATTTATTGGTACGACAAGCAAACTTTGCATATAAACATTGTTTTTTTTTTGTACCTTTAGATTTAATTTGATCATATGGTGTTGAATGTAATAAACTTAAAAATAATTTAATTACCACTATTTAGACCAAAAGGTTCTTGGTTCATTTGTTTAAGTTACTATGATAATCTCCCAGAAGAAATATTGGCTTACCTTATAACAAGTTTAAAATTTATATCAAAGGATGCTTGCTTAAGAAGGGTTAATATACTGCAAAAGATTATTTAAATGACAAAGCATCTTGAGCTTAATTTTATAAGATTGGATTTTCTTTGCTATGTTGGTTGAAAATTATTTATTGACCCTTTTTTTAAATAAATAAATGTATATTACCTTTACCAAATTTTTAAGAACGTGACGGAACCTGACATCCGTCCATGTTTTCAAGTTTTGGTGTCATCTTTTAATTCTTCTTATCTATCTTTTAATTGACGAGTATCTTGCAAGGTTTGCTCAGGACAAGGTCTCCCGCCGTAGATTTACGCACCGTCGGCATAGAATTGACGTTCACAAGAGCTTGTAATAGCCTAGACTGAATAAATGAAGTCGCTAAGTGCGCTTAAACGTGATTCATGTAAGTTGATTTTTCTGAGAGATAAACTTTTTTAGTAGTACTTTTATACTGATAATTAAATTATGCCCTAACCATTCCAAAATATCAAAAATGCACAACGTTAATATTCAAGTTATCACTTTTGCCGGCACTCCTGGAGTGCAACCCGTCGTTTTTTTTTGAGTAATTGTAGGTAACTTTGGTTATAACTAATATCCAAGACGCGCATCCAGTCAAGAGCCTACACCTAGTTGCGGCTCCGTAAAGTTCCGTCAGGCCGCCCTCTGCGGTAGCGACGCTTTGGACATCGTTACATTTTGCGCGGCTTAGGCCTTCAATGTTCAATGAGGGCTATCGTTTTTTGTCTCACCAGATGGCGCCACTGTTGAGTGAGGTCCTGAAGTGTAACTTAAAGTTAGTAAACACGCTCGTGATATCAAAGTTTACACTTTAATACAAAAGAATCGTATCTTAAACATAATCGCCCATGCCACAGTGTTGCGCAGTCCCGTTTTGTTCGGAAAAAAGAAGGACAATATTTTTTCTTAGCTCCGCTTTTAAATAACTGACAATCATTGACACGTAACTCATATTTGCCATAATAAGTCTGATTTATTACCAAATATTCACAACTATTATTTTAATTAGAAAAAAACCGCGTAGTCAACCCGCAAGCTATAACATTTGACATTTCGGAGACCTCACGCAACACAAGCGCCTCTAGCGGCGGTTTCAGACGCGATTGCCCTCATTGGCCGATGCTACCAGAATGTCGAGCATTTTTGTCTGTTGGCTCTGATAAGGGCCTCTTGGGAATTGGTCATGCGACCTGCATTTCCTGTCGACTCAAACCATATTGATCGCGATATTATTTGTATCGTTATGGGTTTAGTAAGATTAGCGTGATTGTTACTACAAATTTAGCGCTACTTAGGGGACCACGTCCAGGGTAGCATGTGTAATGTTCATCCCCTAGAAGACCTAAAAAATGAGTTTATAACCGTCACCAAGGTTCAATCTACCTGCATACTAATATTGATGAATTATTAAGTGGTTTAGACCTGGAATATGCTTCCAGGTATAAATAAGCAAATAAACTAACTTTGGTATTTATAATATTAGTAAGGATGGCGAACACATATTATGTGTATTATCACATCAATTTTAATATGTCAGTTTTCTACACAATATGAAGAAATAATATTTCATCGCCATTAAGTTCAAAACTATTCATATAGCCCTTTTAAAAATGCCTGGTTACATAATTCTGAATTTACATGTAGGTGTATATAGTTTTACTATATCAACTTAACGATTAACTTGTTTTAAAAAAAATGGATGCGTGTAACTTATGTACGCGCGTGAGAAGTTATACTTCTTTAGCATCATTAAAAATATTTTTTAATTGCATGCAAATAATTAATAATTACAATAAAATAATAAAAGGACTGGAAAAGGATAGTTAACACAGTCAATTAAGTTCAGTTTTAATTTGAAAAATTAAATAAATATTCAAAATATTCAATTAAAATCACTACTGAATTTAAGTTATTAGTCCATATGTAATTAGCACTTGTAAGTAACTAAAACACGTTGTGTCTATATAGAAACTAGAAACATGTGGATAAATATTATAAATATGAAAACAGTGATCAGAGGCGACGAGCGTGCCAACATTGTTTTTGACAACGCGATCATCTTATGGAGCTCCGTGGATCGTTCAAAGTACCTTTCGAACAGATGTCTAAAACTGAATCTGAAAGATGTTCAACATGTCTAACAATTTTTTGATTAAAGTAACTACCGCCTTATTTTTTTTCTGTCATAAAGTATAATGACCTCTGCATCAATAACAACGCAAACAGCGATAAGTTTAACAAACAGCAGAAAATAAAATTAGACAAGACAATTATTTTAACTTGTCAACTTTCAAATGGATCACGTGAGCAGACCGGATAAACGCAAAACATTTCGTAATTAAAAGTTTTGCAAATGATAAAAAAGTCCCGAAAACAAACAAGGTTATTATTAAGTTTGAGTTTCATTTGTGTTGTTGAAGAGGTGAACGTTCTTAAAGAATTTCAATTTAATTTCGAACGGGTACGAAGAGAGAGATAGAACGTTATACCATAAGACACGGTCCGTACACAGATCTTTCGTTTTATTCACATTCATTATTTGCCGGTTTTTACAGCCTCTTACGTCACCGGCCTTCAAAATTTGATCAATTATTTATTTATTTATAAACCACGCAAAGAAAACGTCTCAAACGCAACGCGCAATGTGTGCGTGACTCTAATGTCAGATTGTTTTAAGCAGACAATGTGTGCCTGTGTAGCGATGAGCATAATATCTACCATATGTAGTAGATATTTTTGGGTCGCTTCCGTGCAGTTAATGAGGTATCCATTATTCTTATGGATTTCTTCTTTTGTTTCAGACGGGGTCATTGTCCGAAGAGTCGCTCAAGCGCGGCTTGAGCCACAAATGCGCTCAGCGGGAGACCGTGTCCGCTTGCATCGCTCACGAGCTCGTCGGATATGTGGACAGGATGCTCAGGACCGCTTCCGTACAGCTGAGCGAAGACGCTATGATTGTTGACGAGAGGTATGACTTTGACGACGGCAGTTGTAGTATGCACTCTCTTCCTTTTACGTACGTTTTATTTGATCGGCCGAGTTTGACCTGTGACTCGGCCGCCATCGGTCAGTAATAAATGTTACCTGCAATCTGTAGAATCCGTCATTCTATAAAATACCTAGGCAATGTATAGAATGCCAAAAACGTCAAGGTAATATATGAAATATTATTCATTTATACTTTGTCTAGGTATTCTTTACAATGCCGAAAACACAGTCGGCAATGTGTGTGAAAGAAGATCGAATTTTCCTTGTTTTATTATGTCTCTGCCCGTTCACGTGTTCCCTCCCTCTTACAACCTGGGATCCTTTAAAAGAGGCGTGAAGAAGCAACATGCAGGCCGGTAGGGTGAGGATAACTGTTGTGGTAGGTAGATCTGCTGTACCAGCTATCTTAACGTCTGAACTTCACCGTCACTTAACATCAGGTGGTGTGGAGTCATTTGTCGGACCACTTTATAAAAAAAATAAAAAAAAAAAATCAAATGGCTGGCTAAGTATAAGTCACAACACTCACTTAACCTAACCCACTATGAGTTTGCCAAACGTTCAGTGGTCTGTAATTCTTTCGGTGAGAATTATAAAAGCCATTCGTCATTTTATATCCAACTATGTAAGTTAGGTTAGGTTTGGTTAGAATAAATAAAGGCCAAATATGATTATTTTACACATTGCCGGTGCGCCAGCAGTTACTCTATACAATACCTTGGAATTGTAGATATTGCCTAGGCAAAGTATAAAATGGAAAATGAAATATTCCATCCATAGGCCTGTGCCCCAGCAGTGGGGACATTAATAGGATGATGATGATGACTCTTATTATATGATCAATTATGAAATTTCAGTTTATTCCTGTACTCGAGTAGTATAGGGACATTACGGGGTGATGTTGTTGATAAATAAATATGCATATTTCCAACACTCACACCAATTAGCCTAGCCACAAAGTAAGCACTGTAGGATTGTGTTATGGGATACTGTTGATACATCTCATTAAACTTGCGGGTAAGTGTAGATCATTATCATTATTTATCGCATCGCATCTTGAATCGCACATTTTATTACATCATCATCATCATCATCAACAGCCTATCTTAGTCCACTGCTGGACATAGACCTCTCCAAATGCACACCACTCAGTTCGATCTTGGGCTACTCGCATCCAGCTCCATTTATTACATAGCGTGTAAATTGCACGTGGTGTGAACAGTTTCTGAAAAAAAACCATCCATCCAAATTAGGCTTTGTTCAGATGTCACGTGTATGCTATGCGTACGCCACGCGGGTAACTCCCGCGTCAAATACGTTAAAAATTGTTTTGTATACAATTTGACTATTATTTCATATCAATAAATCTCTAATTACTTTATCGAACCGCGCACGCATGGCATACGCTAACACCTGCACTTCATCTAGTGAAGGGATTGACGCTTAGAAGAAAAAAAATACAACGCGTGTTCAGCGCGGTCATCAAAACATGTTTTCACATACCGAAGGTGCGTATCGCGACACAAGCTTAGATTAAAATAAAAAGGGTAGATACGGTACGCTCATACTTGCATCAAACAAAAACTGATACCACGGCTGTGCGAACGGGACGGCGAGATCCGCGTCACTGCATTACGGACCCGAACGAAACAGCACGTTAAGTTTCAACGGCAGTGCGAACGAGACGGCGAGATCCGCGTCACTGCACTACCGACCAATCACGCGACCAGTACCGACGTCACTACCGAATAAGATTCAAAACAAACAGCAATTTTTATGAAAAAATATATTTTATAGTAGTTACGAATGAAAAGTGATTTTATTTTTAGTTCTTGAGCAATTTGAGCACTTTTTAAAAACACACTTCGGCATTGTTTAATCATATAAAAACAAAATATTAGCAATATTTCTTTTTAGCGTTCACAGGTACGTCGCTCGTTTGCATGTCAAGTTGTGACTAAAGCGATTAGGATCGTGGACCAAAATTTATGCGGATCACTTTTGTGAGGCTAGTAAAAGGGTAGATACGGCTATCTACCCTTTTTGTTTTAATCTAAGGACACAAGACGTTTCGCGCAAAATATGCTATACTGGTTTGAGCTACTTCAAATAGTCTGGTTGTACTATCGCTATATAAAAGCTTAGCAGTATAGATATAGTATTCTAATTAATCTGGGTGGTACAATATCACCCATGCCGATTTTAACCTTGGTATAATATTTTAAAAATAATTTATTTGTTAATCTTCCTGATTGTTGGTTTTATAGATAAGGTTTCTTTAATTTTCTTTATTGAATAAAAATAGATAAGAATACAATAACGTTTATTGTGTAAGCATCTCTTTTCATAAATTTAATGAATCGACAGTTCGTAAACATTCATAGTATACAATACGAAGCCTTATCAACTACGAATTGAACCGTCAAAGAGAAAAATCAACAAAAGAAATAGGTATTAATAACCAGACATTTCTCGATAAATGTAACAGTAAACAGAGTGAGCCCCCATATCAGACCAGGTTTGGAAAGGATAATTTAATCATTCGTGTGATTAAATTTCGCGAATCCAATCACCGGCCTTAATTTATCACTGGCCCACCCACCCTGTCAGTTGCATGTTTGTAATCCAATTGTTTTGTAATATCCCCGAGTTTGGGCCTGTGGGTACAATTATTTTTTTTACTTCATTATTCACTAGGTGTTCCAATTTTATTATTCATTCTGAAAAAGTCCAATATATATTCGTATTCCATACATACATTATAATTGCGATTGTATATTTGCTTCGCTTACATTATTTTTAAATCGCTTGCATTTGGGGTTTAGTATAATTTTATAGATTTACATTAAATAAAGCAATACCCACTCCAGTGGAAATTAGTAAATTTACTAGAACTTTAAAAAAAATCAACATATCTGTGATACTGGATTCGGCCAGCTGCTGTCGCTGTTCGGGTGAATTCTTTACCTTAAAAAAACTTCAGGTATTTATAGTAAGCTATAGTATACATAGATAGTATGTAAATGGGTATTTCTTAAATTGCGATACTATAGCGAACTACAATGTTAATTGCCTCTTCCTCATACCACTGACTTACCACGAATAGCACGACAAAGAATCATGCCTCCGTCACACCATAGAAAAATTACTTATTAATCTAGCACCATCTAACTGCCAGACATTTGGTTGGCCATCAGGTGGCTTTTCACCCGTTCGTTGTTGACGTATCACAGACCTGTCCAAAGCAATTTACTTGCAGCTTTCTGTTAAGCAACGGCAATCAGGCATAGTCAAGAATTAACGATTAAAAGTTTATATCTGAAGAAAAGTATATCATTCAATTTCAGTAACGGTGCAGCAGCAGAAGTGACCGTGAAGCCAGAATCCCTAGGAAGGGCAGGCAGCTCTTTGGAAGACCAAGCCCAGCAGTTGATCATGGACAAGCTTACGCTTTTCGCCACGACCAGGTCGCTGCGGTACAAGCTCTTCGACAACGCTGACCTGGTGGTCGCTGGAAAGACTGAGAAAGACGGAAGCCTTGGAGTCGGTGAGTTAATAATAATACTTCATTTATTGTGGAGCATATTAACAATAATAGGGTTGTTATGTAAATGGATATAGTTCAGCTATGTCCTGCTTTAAGGCGTCCCCTGGCAATCTTCAATTAGATTGATTGTATGATAAATTGCGTCCAACTCTTATTTTGAGTATGCACATTTACTTTTGAAAATGAATAATCTTACTTAATCCACAAACGTTCAGTAACGTCTGAGGCCTTAATTAAACCTTTGAAAATAAGGAGTATTGTTCACCAAAGTGATGTTAACTACATTTAATACCTACATGTAGAATTTACTTTCACTACAAAAGGTACAGTTATTTGTCAATGACTTGTATTTGTAATTTATGCGATTCTTAAGCAGTATCAAGATTTTGACAGTGTAAAACAATTGCTATCACATCCGTTTTCAATGTTCCAGGAGTATCGTTAAAGGCGCCTAAGGCAATCGAGTCCGGCAGAGCTCGTAACAAGAATTTCGGGCCGATCCTGGCAGCTGCTGCCATGAAGTTCGGCCTGCTCGGCGCTTTGACCTTTAAGGGCCTAGCCCTGATGGTGGGGAAGGCCCTTCTCATCGCTAAGATCGCGCTGCTCCTCGCCACTATCATCGGATTGAAGAAACTGTTCTCCCATCAGGTGACTTAGTTTTAGATTTATGAAGTAATGGAATTAATTAATTTGATCAGGCTGTGTTCGAGCTAATTCTGGTAGTTTTATGATTGGCTCGGACACAGTCGAATCGTGTCAAGTTTGTATGTCAGCCACTCAAAGCAAAGAAGCACAGAAAATCAAGAAAAAACGTAACTCCACAGAAACAAACGAAAAGAAAATACATATAGTCGTAGTCGCACTTCTACAGGATCTTGACTATAGTCGGGAGAAATTTGTTGATTTTGTAGCTAAGATTCCCGTATGTTTAGATGACCAGTTGGTACTTGATTGGTTGGCCTTCTGTTTTAATGGCCCTGATCAAATCCCGATAGAAACATTGTTTTGTAATGTGATGAGCACAAATATTTTTTTTACGAATCATGGTTGTTTACATGCCTATATCTAAAAATGTCACTTAGAATTTTTTTCTGGAGAACCTCAAATAAATCTTTTTAAAGAGAATGAACAACAAATCAGATGGATGATGTTGCTAACTCATAACTGTAAAAAATGGGCTTAGTTGTTTCATGAATTGGACCACCTTTGTGTGTTCTATAAGTTATTTAGTGATCGTTAGCGCCTAAAAAGAAAAGCCCCCAGGACCATTAAATTAAAATAAAAATAAAGTTTATTTTCACCCGTCCCGCTCGTTTCTGTGGAGCTACGCTTTTACTTGGTATTTAATGGTATTGCCCTTGCACAAACGTGCACGATGTATATAAAATTCTTCGTTAAAAATGTTTGTTAAATTTTAAAGGAGGGGGGCAATGGGGGACGGCTCGGATCCGGCATGGTCTAATATCGGAGGCTGCTTTTCCAGCAAAGCTAGAGGTAAATTTAGACCAATAGCAATGCTGACATGAACGATACCAAGTAAATGGCGAAATTTCATTGGTGGTTTTTTTACTTTGCTCGCCGCTTTATTTCCTCACATAGCTCTGGTGGAAAATAAGCTGAACTGTCTTGGTCAATGTCTTTGTTTGGTTCCTATAGTGCTTTCTTTAGTTTAGCTTTAAACACGAACACCAGTGTCACTCCTGAGAAAAAATGCACGCGCATGCGTCCTAACGGTCAAGCAAGCATAGCTAGGCAAGTATTATCTTTGATTGCTCTATTTGCTCAGCGGCAAACTAGTGGAACGAGTTCTCACCAGCAGTGTGCACAGTCAGCGATAAACTATTAATATAACATGCATCTATTTTATTTACACGGAATGTATATCTATTCTATGTTTCTTGAGCGAGCAAATCGCCGATAGTTAGTCGCTTCTTTGCCGGAGGTGGGACAACTGTTACTAATAAAGGGCTCTGAAAAAAGTTTATTTAAATTTTTTGTCTACTTTTGAGCTTTCTCACACTTTGAATGCCTGACTGCGCTTCCAAATATTTCGTCCGTAGTAATAATTGTATTAGTATTGGGGTTCATTGAATAAGCTATATAAATAAATACAACTCTTACTTCATATCATGAATTTGTGATAAAGACAAGAACATGCATAACATTTTGTTGGGATATGTGGCTTTACAAAAAAGTTTCCAATTATAAAAAGAATATTTAGCCACCTCACAGACAAAATATAATTTCTAGAAAAACAGCTATCACTGGAAATCGGAGTACGTAACCTAAAATGTTATTTGATGGAATCCATTTACAATATTTAATTTAGATAACATTTAAGATACTTAAATGTATCGAATGAATAAGAATTATTAGAATTGAGAAACTTCCATTATTTTCGTTTTAATATGAAAGGAAGTTTTTAACCGACTTCAAAAAAGGAGGAGGTTCTGTGTTCAACTGTATATTTTTTTATGCATGTTCACCGATTTCTCCGTCAATTGTGGACCGATTTCCAAAATTCTTTTTTTATTCGAAAGAGTGCATTTCCGACGTGGACCCATTGGTACCAAGTCAGGATCTTATGGTGGAATCCAGGGAAATCGAGGGAAACTTCCAAATTTCAAAGGCAAGCACGTTGTTTTAACCGATTTCTCCGTCAATTGTGTTATTGTTTACTTGGACGACGTAATTTTCACTAAAATGGATGAAATAAAAAAATATATACAAAAAATAAAACCGACTTCAAAATCGTAAATGGAACTAAAAAGTAAAAAATAATATCTGGTTCATGATTTGGAAGTCGGGCGGGGAATCAAGATTAAAACATTTAATAGATTTTCGTTTCTGATCGGTAATATTACGCTTTATTTTTTACTTTTTAGTTCCATTTTCGATATTGAGTCGGTTTTATTTTCTGTTTAAATTTTTTTTTGTTAAAATAGTTTGAATAGTAGAAATCGGCCTATTAAAAAAAACTTTTATTTCATTTATCTTTAAACTTGTCATTATTTTATTTTATTCTTCCTCGATAGGGCTTCGGCGTCTTTGTCTCTCTGTCCCTCTCTTGTGCGTATGTTTTTTGTATGTGTATGTATGTGAAACGCACGTTTTCTAATGAAGACATATTGACATCGTTTAATTTTAGGTGCAGTTGTTATTATCAAAATCCTACGATGCATATTAGTCCATTCATTTCTATACTCAAAGCATCAATGAAACTTTAAATTATATTTCCTTCATTTACAAGGTCATAAAATATGAAAACTTATGCCTGTGACGAAGCACTATTTGATCTTATATTGATACTCTATCCATACTCACGCTATTATGTCACTCGCAAAACATCTCAGTATAATTTAAGAATAAGTTTATTCCCAGAAGATCAAATAGCGTTGATTGCGTCGTTTATTGTATGTTCTGAGATCTCAATTGATGTTATTACCAATGATATTACACACAGATCATTGGTTATTACTGTCAAATTGATAAGTGATTTATGTCCAATGTTACTTTCATGGAATCATTCTTGAATGGCAACATTATGCTTTTCTTGTATACAAGTAACTATCTCCGAGAAATTATGAACGTATCTCAGAAAAAGTGAAGAAAGTTTTCCAAGTACCTTTATTTTTAAATTAACGCAAATTACTTTGTGGCTGAATTAATTTAATGAAGTTTATAAGAGTTTGTAGTAGAATAGCAGGGCCTTTATTAAGAGTTGTCGAATATGTAACAAAAATAGCCTGCGCAGAGGAGGGACTTCTGTCCGCGGGGCACTAATTTTCCGCCGCCGTGCCGTTAAGATTATTTTATTTGTATTTCTGATTTTAAAGAATTTCATCAACAAATATTTAGCCATTGTCCTTTCGGGCCTGATACTCTTTTTTTGAATTATCATTTAAAGGAGTTCTTTTATCCACTTCTTTACCACGTACGTGTGCGTAGCCGCTTCATGTCACATATTATTTTCTAAATTTTCGCGGACTATCGCGTACTTCTGTACTGTCCGGTACAGTTATTACATACATATCACGGGAGTTCAATTTTATAGGGACAAACCGAAATTTTATAGTAAATATTGTGAGTACAAAGTACATTCATCTATCTATATATATAAAACTCAAAGGTGACTGACTGACTGACATAGTGATCTATCAACGCACAGCCCAAACCACTAGGCGGATTGGGCTGAAATTTGGCATGCAGGTAGATGTTATGACGTAGGCATCCGCTAAGAAAGGATTTTGATCAATTCTACCTCCAAGGGGATAAAATAGGAAATGAAAGTTTCTATGAAACTTTGTCAATTTAAAACCGATCAGGCGGAGACTTTGCATGCAAGTATAAGAAGAATCATAGATGAATATCATTGTGTATAATACAAGCCTGAGAACAAAAAACTGTAGTCTACACGGAAGCGAAGCGAGGGCGGGCGGCCGCTAGTGGTATCATAAATAATTTCATGAAATCATTTGGTCTTTCATATACAAAGATAGAAATACAGTTCGATAATATCAGTTTCTTTTGCAGTATTTCTTTCCTTACACAATATTTTCACTGTGATCCCTAAGTAAGTAGCCCGACCTTTTGGACTATGAAAATCAGTTCCGACCTAAACCCAAGAAATACGGAGGAATGATCCTTTTCTTATATCGATCCGACCGTGTGTTTACCTCGATAGGTTTGCCCCTGACCTTTTTACATTTTGTTTGAAAAGAATATTTTAAGCACAAAAAATAATAAAGCGACGTCGAACTAAAAAAAAATGTGAGGAAAAATAGGAACAGTACTGTCAACACAAAAAACAAATTCTGTGTATCATGATGTTTATGCCTGTTAAAGAGATTTTATCAAAGTCTATTATGGCGGGCAATGTTCTGCTATACAAATGTTCTCGACTGATTCCTCCATGATTTATATCATCAAAGAAATTATTTTCATACATCAAATATAATTTTGCTTATTCTATGCTCCCATGTCTTTCTTTTTTCGATAACTTGTGTTCCAAAAATAAACAAATTTTTATCACCACTAAAGACGTCTAGTGTAGAGGGTCAATAAGCATTTACAAAAAAAGCAAAACATAGATGCATAGAATAACTACTTATTATATATTCTATGGGTAAAATTTCTTTTACATATAGTTTCTGTGCGGAAAGAGAATGGGCGTGGCGAAAAACGGAACTAACATTAAGATTTTTATTTGGCAATCAAACCCAGCAATCTGTAAAACGTCAAAGTTTTGTATTGATACGGATTTGTTTGTTGTTGTGATTTCTTGCGGTTTTTTGTTTTTAATCATGTCGAAAAGGAGTAAACCCCTACAAATACGGTAGAAAATCACTACAGCGCTCTCCAATCTAAGTCCCATTCTCTTTCCGCACAGACTCTATCTCATTTTCGAAGAGAAAATCGTCGAGAGCCATATCTCGAATTCTGCCTTTTTTATAAACAATTTTCAGCGTTAGCTACTGTTATCCCTATCGCACGGTCTCTGCCAATGTGCGAAATCAATAGTTTTTTCAAATATCTATTTCTCAAATCTCTCACAGCTCTCGTCCGCTCTTAAGTATGAACCACACAAGCAAATAAATTTACCGACTTTTGGCTCGCTTCAATTTTTGCACGCACCTTTTCATACTTGA